AAAAGCTTTCGCACCCCAAGAAGCATGCGCCTTGTAACGGACATGAGCATTCAGATGATTCTTGGGGAATCGACTGCAATGATAGCAGCGGTCGGCTTCAAACAGATGTACACTTTTATGTATAACGACGAAAAGCCGTCCTTTACTGACTTGCACATGATAAAGGAATTTTTTAACCGTGTTACCATTGGTTTAAGCATTGAATTTTTCTTCAACTCGTTCACGTGTTGGCTGCAAATGTCCTATTTCAATATCGCTGTGATGCGAGTCTGGAGGAACTAATAGAAGAAACACATATTAACTTGTATCATTCAGTCCACTCTGACGATGGGCTTCTTTGTCAAACATTTGTTCCCGTTTGTAGAATTGAAACATTCGTCTGCAGAAACAAACCGCTATTTCCATTGTACAGGTCCATTTTCTAGATTCTATTCGAACAGGTTTGATATGAGTGTCGAAACGAATTCCAGTTTCATTTCCTGCTTTGAATGGTTGAGTTACTACAGGAGTTACGGTTCCTCGTGTTAAGAGCGACTTCTTTTCAAGACCGCGTGAGAGGTGGCACATCGGCCGAAAAATGACTATCCTCATATTTCAGTCGGAGAAACCTTTTAGTGAACATAAAACGTAGTAAGGTTTTTTTCCCAGGCTTACCTCTTTATCCCAGAAAATTCACGAAAACTGAAACGAGCGTCGGTAGCCGTAAAATGGCGGAAATCAGTGCCCCGAGTAGAGGCAAATGAACTTTACTCATAAAATATATCTGAGTCTAATTATTTTCAGTTAAAAACAGTTGCCAAAGGGGTTTTCAACGGGGTGGGGGTGAGTACTCTTGCAGTTGTTTCTCTGCTCATTTTTCAGTGAAACACTCTTCCAAGGTAATATATTCTATATTATCTAATGAACAAGTGTTATTTACATATCATTTTCCGTGATTTTCGGGATCGGAAAACCCCCAGAGGGGATGAAGAAAATGTTTTTTTGTGAATGAAATAATTTCAGCTCTACATGACAAACGCTTGAGTATGTTACATCTACGGCAGTATCAGATTGCTTCCCGTCTTCAGCGTCCTCAGCAAAGAACATTTGAGTAATCGGTATAAATGATTGAATTGTTCTCTTTCAATTCCACAATGAAGCTCAATTTAACCCTAGAACTTCTTAAAAACTTAAATGTGTTCGAATATGAAAAAAAAAAAAGAAAAAAAAAAGAAAAGACAGCGCCCTCCGCTAGCTTTCGGAATGTGACATTGTAAACAGTTTTTGCTTTGGGAGATGGATGAGAATTAAAAACGAAAGCAGGGATAAAAGCCAATCTATCGTCGTAACAGCTATGCAAGGCTAAAATGTGCTTGGAATTCCGGAGTTAACCACCGCGTACCTAATCAATGATTATGTCGTGACGTAATGCCGATGTTGCGATTTTCACAAAGTTCAGCCTGGTTTTTCCGAGCGGAAATGAAAACCCTGAAACTAATTTTTAAATCTTCGAAAACAACACTGTTTCCACTTATCATGAGCTTAACCTGAACCGATTCAGAGTTATACTGCAGGGTGAAAATGATAATTGAAAATTTGCTACGAAAAGCGATATTTGGATTTTAAAATATTGGTGATTTTCTAAAGCGTTTCGTGAGCTCCAAATTGACTGAAATGGTCCCGTTTTATACTTAAACCATACCTCAATCTTTCCTATACAAATTTATAAAATTGATACGAGCTTGCTTTCTTTTGCGCTTTTCATGAGCAAAGTTCATTTGCCTCTGCTCGTGGCACTGATTTCCGCCATTTTAAGGCTACCGACGCTCGTTTCAATTTTCGTGAATTTTCTAGGATAAAGAGGCGAGTCTGGGGAACGAAAAACCTTACCACGTTTCTGTATTCACTAGAAGGTGTCTCTGGCTGAAATATGAAGATTTTCAAGTTTTCGACCGTGTGCCACATTTTCCGATTTTCACTTGGTCAATTCACAAAGCCGCTCTTAACACATAAATTTCAATTTACTAAAAATTAACTAATTGTTTTACATTTAATTAGATACTAGTCCGTCAGTTTAAAAAGCGGGAAACTCAAAAGATCTCTGACTCCACCTGAAAGCTGGTGTAAGCGCCGCTTGGCAAAATGTTTTTTTGCGATTTGAAACATTTTTCTGGATTTGAAAAATAATCTTGGATCGCAAGTTATTTTGGGGATTTTGGAAATATTATTTTTGAATCCAACAATTTGAGGCGTGCGCTAGAGAGAAGACACCATAAACAGAAATCGTAAACAGCAGCGGCTTAAACGATGGGCGCGTAAATCTCGGTATTCATTATGGCGAACGGACAAAGGGAAAATCATTCGAAGGGCTATTACCGCAGCTTAAATGCTCTTAGATCTGGAAACCTCATGGAGAATAAATCGGAAACAAGAAAAATCCCTTACTTTTAAAGATATCTCCACTAAAAAAATTCTCCAGGGTTCTGGGGGGAATATCAGACATGGCATTTAATATTGATTATAGTTTGGCTATGAATTGTATCAGTCATCCAGTTGAGAATATGATAAAAAGAAAATATATAGTTTCCTTCAAATTTCGCTTTTTTTCGATTTTTGGCCCATTATTTTATACGGCGGCTTTTTTATCTTTTGGTAATTAATATATGGTAATTAAAATGTGTTAAAACAAGATGGCGGGCGAAGTTGAAAGAAAACAAACCGCTCGAAGGGGCATTTTTGTGTAAGTTTCCTCGCATCTCGCATTTCTGGAAAATGCCACTTTACAAATTGAAAAATGAATAAAGGCTAACAGTTTCTACAGAAACTGTGGTGCTGCGTCGATGGGGGTAACAATGTAATTTGGTAATATCAACTCGATTGAAATATGTAAATTGCCCACCGTAACGAATAAAAAACCTGACGTTTCGAGCGTTAGCCCTTTCGTCAGAGCGAATGGAGGAATTGTGGATTGTATGTGTTTTTATATGTAGAAGCGGAGGTACGCCATTGGTGGGAACATGGCAACGAGAAAAACACGAATAACTTAGTGGAATGAAAAGCGTTCGTTGATACCTGTGGGATTAAGAGTGCCGATTTGAAAGATTAGCTTTTGTTCGAGAGTTTTACGGCTTTCCGTGTTGCCTAAATGTAAGGAAAGACCGCAGATTGCCATGTGTTGTTTGGAATGATTAGGTAAATTAAAGTGCCTAGTGACTGGTTTTGATGCGTCCTTGTCATTCCTTTCTACGTCGCGAAGGTGTTCTCGTCAGAGAAGGAAAATTCTCACGTTTCACCCTCACAACCACACAGTTCAGATATAACGCGTGCTGTCATTGATTGAAAGGGCGTGCTCTATCAGAGTATAGAACATTGAGTTCTATCACGCCATCTGCCAATTCGTAACATGGCGGACCAAATCCCGAATTTTTCTCTCGGGTTTTTATTCGACCGAGAAGTCCTCTACGACCTAGAAGACGACAGAGAAAACGAGCTATTAGCGTCAATCGACTTAGAGGATACTGTCAATGACAATGCGACCTACCCTTTAACTGAAAGTGAGGTTTCCAACAAAGTTAATTCCGAAAACAATGAGCACGCCTGCAATTTAAACAGGCAAAGATTTGAAAACATGTCAAGTGCCGCAATAGACGAGATAATTGTAAGAGCAGAAACAAAGAAAACCAAACAATCCACCAAATGGGCTATCCGAGTTTTTGAAGGTGAGTTTTTTCGTTGCAAAAATATAATAAATACCATATGAAAACCTCGAATAGAGTGGACGCACATTTGCTAAACTTTCTTGCNCTATCTACCGATCTTTCTTTCTATCTATCTATCCATCTATCCATCTATCCATCTATTTATCTATCTATCTATCTATCTATCTATCTATCTGTCTATCTATATATCTATCCATCTATCTATTTATCTATCGATCTTTCTTTCTATCTATCTATCCATCTATATATTTATCTGTCTATCTATCTATATATCTATCCATCTATCTATCTATCTACCGATCTTTCTTTCTATCTATCTATCTATCTATCTATCTACCTATCAATCTATCTATCTCTCTTTTCTTTAATCTGCGTGCCAGTATGTTAATATCGTGCCAAGCAATAGCTTAGAAATTTAACCTTGCTCAATACCAAGAAGAAAAACCCGATCAAACTGAAAATTTGTAAAAAGATAAGAATTCAACCGTTCTATCAACTTACTGAACTAAAATCTCATAAGGATTGATAATTCCCTATTTCTAAATTTGGTGGCATCACGTGAAAATCAAGAACTAAATCCCCTGGTTCAAACGTGCCCACCCTTGATGTGAGGAAAGTAAACAAGTATCCTGGACGCTAAATCAAAATTTCACGGTTTGCTCAATTCTCGACTTTTGTCACGCAGAATGGCTGGACATCATCAGTTATTCGTGAGTACTGAAGCGGAAAATGTGAATGCAATAGTGCCTGGAAAAGCCCAGAGGAGGAGGAGAAAGGGCTGAAACTAGCCCAGCAGCATTGATAAAAATCGCTTTACCGATTTCCAGAAGCAATAAGTCAGAAATCCAAGAGTGGCTTTTATGTGGATGGGTTCATCCATAGTCAAAACTTAAAAAGGGAAAGTTTAAAGAAGCATAAAGACTTGGAAATGACGAAAAAAACGGACAATTTTATTTGAAGGCCTAATTTAAAGGCGATCTGTTTTCACAAGGAAGACCGACACAACATTTCAAACACAACTAGATGTGATGCTTGATTTTCTTTTTGGGGGAAAAATATTTCGTGATGACTGGGTACACGTCCATTGAGAGACAATGAATTGAATAAATAATCGAATAAAAAAAAAACTGAATATTAAATAACTTAATAATTGCATTAATGATGAGTAGTTTTAAGGATCAATCTACAAGATTTTAACTTTTCCATGTCCTTTTTGTAGATGCAAATTTACCTCCAATGAAAGGTAAAAACTCTAACAATTATGGTTATAACGATGTAGATAACTTAACTTTTCCCTTTCAGCTTTCAAGGCCGTTTTTACAAACCTCAACACCAGTGGAAGAATTGGTCCAACAACGCTGGGTAGTCACTACACAGGACATGATCATGATGGACAAGTTGTACTATCCAGCGGCGTTCAACAGTGGACTGTGCCGTACATTGGTGACTACAGAATAGAGGCAATAGCAGCTGCAGGAGGGTACGATAGACACACTAACAGTACTCAGTACCGAGGGAGAGGAGCAAGAATGACTGGAACGTTCCGCTTAAACAAGGGTGAAGTCATTCAGATACTTGTTGGTCAAGAAGGAGGAATAAACACGAAAAGATTTTCGTCTGGAGGTGGGGGAGGAACGTTTGTGGTGAGAGAAGCCAATACACCTTTGATAATAGCTGGAGGCGGAGGAGGGGTAAATAGAGTTTTATCAAGTCATGAAGGATGTGACGCTAGCACAAACACCGCAGGGAATCCTGGATACAAATCATGGTCAGGGGGGAGCAATGGACATGGTGCACAGACTGCTGATTATGATGCTTCAGGTGAGAGTATGTGGTAATGTTTCCTTACGACTTAGCTTTTCAATTCATGTTATTTCATAACCATATGATAACGTGGGCTCTAATTGGCTTATAATTTATGAAATAAAAATAGATGGTTGATAGAGATGGTTCAGACTGAATTCATTGTCGGCGAAAAGCTCCTATAGAGTTTACCCGCGAGGTTTCAAAACTTTCAAGATTCTATACCAAATAAGAAAGACCTTTTGGAGCTCTATTTGAAAATAAAATGTGCTAAAATGATAATCGTTTCGAAAAACAATGAGCATGTAGCTCTTGAAAGTAAAGGAATTAGTTTTGGAGTCGGGGATACTTTATTCCGTTCCCAAATGCGATGCCTGAATATGGCTGAAAAGAAAACTGATTTTTTTTTTTTACTTCAACCGAGGCTTCACGACGTTTAGGTAAATGTTATTTTGAAGAGCCGATGCATGTCTGTTCCAAAAGTGTTGTTGAATGGACGATTTTCCTGTCAAATCATACAATTCTTAAGATTTTTAACACAAAGCGACGCAATTTGTGATGGTCAATTCTTGTAACCAACAATTCAAGGAGGTAAATATGCTACACTGGACTCGTAGATTTAGAAAAATTCCCCTTAGGTTTTGGAACGATCGATATTATTTTTAGCTGCATTAATTTGATAACTCAGAACGCTACAGTTTCTCCTGGCTGCACCTCGAGCAACTCCTTTCTTGTGCTCTCCAAACTTCCCGCGTGCACCATAACTCGCATGACAAATGCATCGGAGGCACATAAATCTTTAATAAATCTCAGATAAAATATAAATATCCCGAGATAAAATAAATAAAAGTATTTTTAAATTATAAACATCAACAACATTTAGGTTCACGGCTTCTCACATAAACAGCATTTCCCCCTTTTTTCCTCAAAACCACACTTGACCAGTTCCTGTCCCGCCCGAATATGTTTTAGATCGGTATATTGACAACTGATTCAGGTTTATCTGGCTCAAGGTGTGTTTAGGAGGCCACGCAAACGTCAAAATCGATCTTATTTAAATAATCTTCGAGTGTACAGCCGCTCTAAACCAGTTCTTTGTTTTAGTTGAGCTACAAATGTTCGTAAATAAACATTTTGGAACAGCAAACTCGCATTTCGGGCGTTGCTGACTTGGTGTAGATGAAGTCGATTGTCTGGTGTTCAAAATAAAGCTGATGACCACTGTTATCCAATAAATAATTATTTGGATGGTCGATGGTTAATTTTTTGGAATGTCGTTTAGAAAACGAACTAAACGCGAATTTTGCTGTAGATTTTCATGATGACGCGTTTGTAAAGAACTGTTCATTTATCACACCCTTTCTTGATAACTGACCGACGTTTTACGACACCGGAAGTGTTTGCAAACCGGAAGTCAACTCTGTCACTAACCAGTTTTACTTGCGAATAGAAGTGAAAGGACTTACCTAAATGTATCTTTGTGATTGTCAAAAATTTTATTTATAAGAAATAGAACTTGATCCCAATTTTAAAAGGCAATCGTATGATTCTTATTTAAGGATATCTGAGACGCTAGACGGTTAATATTGGCTAGGTTACTTGACGGTTGACGGCAAAAATATTGCGTTTTTCACAGTTGACGGTTAATATTTTGGCCATTTGACGGTTGACGGTTAACCCCATTGAGACCCTGGTATAGGTCATTTTTACTGCAAAGACGAGTCAAGGTAGCGGTAGCGGTGTTAGCGGGAGAACAGAAATTATTTGGTTCGAGGTCGTGACGTACGGACCGAATGTAGCACGTTCCGTGCCTCGTGACCGAGAGCCAAATTTTTTCCCGTCCAGCCCGACCAAATTTCATTAACAAGCATCTTATCATATGACCACTTGGAAAACTTGGTTTCAACCTAAATAGAACGCGGTGTAAGAGTGCACGCTGAACAATCACAATAACAATCCTTGAGGAGAAGTCTTTTCTTTGGTTTTTCGTGTCAGAACAAGAAACTCACCGTTCATTAACTCGTCTGACCATACATACGTCAGCTTTCACTTTGATGGTTTTTAATGGGATTACGCGCGTGGGGCCGTACGGATCGAATTATCATCAGGCATAAACCTGCAATTCAGCATTAGGTAACGCGTTAAATCAACTCATAGTATCTTGGACAGGGGAAGTAAGATGAAACAGTTTATACAACTAGGTATTACAGATGCTATATACAAATATCAAACCTTATAGATAGCGGCTCAACTAAAATGCATTCACGGTAAGGTTTGACCGAACTGACATTGGTTTACTGAAGCGTTTTACAATACTAGTATAAAATTCCAAAACTCGAATGGGTTAGCATCCCATTTAAATATAGTTTCGCTTCTGTTTACGAAAATCTTAAAATATATTCATTGTATTTCAGGTGGTGGTGGTGGCGGGTTTTACTCCAGTGGAAGAAGTGGAAAGAATTTTAATGGCACCAAAGGTTTTGGTGGAGAAGGTGGTAAGGGATTTATGCAGGGGGGGGTGGGTGGAAGAGCCAGGTTTCACGATGTCGATGGTGGGTTTGGTGGAGGTGGTGGAGCCTATGGATGGAGAGGAGGGGGAGGAGGAGGAGGATACTCTGGAGGAAGCAGTGGAAAAGGGACTAATGATTCCTGTGGGGGTGGGGGAGGCTCTTACAACAATGGAAATAACCAGGACAATGAATGTTGTTTCAACAACGCTGGTCATGGTCAAGTGACTATTACGTTCCTGAAGTAAAAAAAAAACGTTTATCTAATATGATAATGGCACTTAGAACTCAGCTTTCATTGATTGGCATTCTAATTGACTGATGGCACTCAGTTAACGTGCCAAATGAAGTGTAACTGTTTCATTTTTTAACCTTCTGAGAAACACAAAAGTCACGCATCTTATCTTTCATTTGTTTACTTTTAGCCATCATTTCTTTCGGTCATCTATTACATTAACTGAGCCCGGCGCTTTTTTAGAGTTGAAAGTACAGATAGGGTTCTAAAACTTTAAATAATGAAGAAATGCTTTTTTCCAGAAGTCGACTCTCACTCCTTATACTTTTTCACCAAGGTCTTAAGGAAAGATCACAATATCGCACAGACCAACTATCACACTGTACAACCTAGAACGATTAGGAATAATTCCAGATGATTATATCTTCTGGAAGCCTAGGATTGAGTTTTGCCTGTTCTTTCATATCAATCCTTTGATTCGAATCTTTACTGACCTTCTTTTACCGATGTTCAGTGAGATCAGTGAAAATTTTGAGATCAAACAGTAAAGACGCCTATTACAATGTAACAGTCTGGAATCGGTATGGCTTTTCGAACGTAGCACTAACCTTAACATTGGAAACGTGTTGTCAAATGATGAAGACTAGCATGAGGGGATAATGACACGCACGATTTTGTCAAAGTTGAGATCCCTCCCGTGCGCTTTGAGGAAAGAAATCATTTGCAAATTGGTATAACAATCGGTAAACCAAATGGGTTGCTACGGCAACGTTGTAAATTTGCGTGTAAAATTGGAAATTATGGACCAGAATTAAGTAGGAAGTATTCACAAGTGCTTCATTTAACGACAGTTCTTTTAAAAGTATTGTTAGTTTCGTAAAAAAAAGGTTCTTTTAAAGTGTGAGGTATACATAATTTTTTGAATAACGGAATAATAATCCCTATCTCTGTAATAATAATTTATATCATACGCTTTGACAGTCTGTTCTGAGTTTAAGGAAAACATACTATGTATTTCGTAGAAGTACTTGTTATAAACAGAAAGATGTCGTTGCAATCGGCGAAAAAGGTGTCTGTTTGACCTATAATCTTTCCGTTGAATACTGAATTGTTTTAGCCACCTATCGAGCAATTGCAAAAAAGACCACGGGCTCTTATAGGGAGCTAGTAACATTTGGAAAAGAAACATTTTATTTTAAAGATCTTGAAATAAATGATAAGTGTCAAACGGGTTTTATGAAATGGCTGCAATGTCTGTGGTGGCCGATGACATTACTTACATTTGCCATTAAGAAATATATTGTGAAATAAAGAAACGTGAGGTTAAAACTTTCATTCACAGCTGTTGCTAATAGTTAATACTGGGAACTTAGTGCAAAGCTATTAATAAAAAAAAAGTTCTCCAGTATATTGTTTGTGAACTTCATGATCTTTAATGGAAATATTTCAAATTTCCTTACAACTGCGGGAAAATAACGTGACTTTTTTAGATTTCAAAACACGAGAAAAGAAGAATAATATCAAAGGGACAAATGAAGAGTCAAGAGTCAAGATGACTTCCGCACAGGTTGTCGAAGCGTCAGTCACCACCACCGACAACAGTCCTTCTCAGGACTACACTCACCCGGACCATCACATCATACTTTCAGATGTTACCCCCCTGTTCAAGCCATTTACTGAAGAAACAAACCTTGACAAAATGACAGATTTAAGTGGATGGGGGGAGGGTGGAGGAATGGGGTCTCCCTATATTTCGCGACGCCTCGCTAAGTTACAACTCCTCCCTTCCTTCCTACCACCAAAACTTGTCTGTGAGAGAAAGGGGGGGAGGGGGAGGGGGGAGGGCGTCTAGAACAACAAACATACATTTGTGATGACAAGGTCGACAAGGAAAATGACTTGTACATGTGCGAGACAGACACTTCACCCTGTGGGAATCTAAGCCCATGACAAAATAACTAATATTTGTAACTAATATTTGTAATGTAATATTTGTAATGTCGATGTTATATCAAGGAAAAACAAAGAAAATTTATGAAAGTCTGATTATGGAGTTGCAGATCATGAAAGTGAGTTACCATGAAAGTAAGCTTTCATAGTTTATGGCTGACTCATTTATCGGAAGCGTTCAATCAAAGTTGGGGATACCATCAATTCCCGAGGATAGGGTGGTATGAAGATATAGGAAAAGGAGAAGAATTGGAAAGTAAAAATACGACCTCTTATGTTTGCCGAAAAATATGCTGAAACATTTGGGTAATATTTGTAATTGTGATAGTGGTTGGATACAACGTGCGCTATCATTGGTCAAAAAGGCGTGCTTTATCAGAGTTTATAGCTTTGCACTAAATTTTCTCCGATTCTTATTGGTTTAAATTGATCACGTGACGCGATAGTATCCACCCGTGGAGAGACACTATCAGCCCATAGTGCCCGTCCGCGGAAAATAGCCGGATGGATAGCACTCATCTGTGAAAAATTTTGAATTGTTTGACGGCCACGAAGTTAGGCAGATCGGAAAAACAGTAACTTTTCAATTCGGACAGGTATAATACACTATTTAGCCAATCTACGGTTGCGAATTATTGACATTTGTGACAGGCTGTACGCATGAATAAATATTTGATTGATCTGCATTTAGTGGGTTTCGATTGTTTTTGAACTGCCGCGCGCAAGAAAATTTAGTGGTGAACAATAAAGACAATAGAGTGTTTACGTCTCGGAACTATCGGTCTGATAGTTGTCCCTTGGAAATTTGATGTTCTTAAAACTAGCATATTTACCCTCGAAGCTTCGCTTCTTAGGCAAATATTTGTTTTAAGTACATTAAACCTCCGCGGGGCAACTACCAGCCCATAGTTCCTCGACAGAAACACTCTATTGTTAAAATAGAGCATGGAGCTGATTAAAAGTTGTACGCTATCTGCTTACTTGTGCTGTGTCTGGCGTTTGTTCGTTAATTAATGAAAAGTGAAATTTCGGAATAAGCGAGCGGGCAGAAGAACCAATCAAAGGTTTGTAGGCACGCCAAGCGCTGTGATTTGCAAAATCACAACGCGTACAAGGACGGAAATCCTAAAAGAGAAAAGGCTTTCATGCTCAGTCAGATTATGAAAATAAAAATCGAACACAGCTAACACTTGTCTAGTAGTTGTAGTTTCGTGTTTAAAGCAAAACAGAACAAAACAGTTTTGGTGAAATTAATCTTGAAAATATATCTAAAATGTCATAACTATTAAAATTCAGACAAATCATGCTGAAGTGCATCACGGCTAACTCATCATGGTGCTCTCCGGTCTGAGTAGTGAAGCAAACCTCAGAAATAACATCGATCGCCCTTCGGGTGGACTTAACTATGAGCTCGCTCTAGTATCCTTTCCGATGCGTTGTGTGGAAGGCCACATGAGTCCCAGCAGCCGAGTTTTACGGCGGTGTCAACTTGAGCAATCTTCTTGTTCCTGTCTTGACCTTCTTGTTGTGCAAAAAAAACAACAAAAAAACAAAAACAAAACAAAACAAAACGAAGCAAAAAAAGAGCGTGTTTTGAAGAGCTCCGATTCGGCCGGACATTATCAAACATATCCCGTTGAGAATCTGAGTTAGACCAAAAACTTCAGGAAAAAGTGTTGATTTCGGCCCGTCCAACCTTTTCTTTTTTTTTGTGAACTAGCGCAGATCGAGAACAAACTTTCATGGGCTATGAACTTTGATGGTTTGACATTTTTGACAACTTTAGTCTTGTTTAACCAATCAGATTACTTGAACCATTCTAATTAAGATTCTGATTGGCTTATTGAAGGCTGGTTTATGGCATGTTGACGACACTGTTGCTTGCACTGGAAATAAAGCTTGTTTTAAAAATTGCAAGCAATGCGTTGGGAATTGAACGGATTTTTCATTATAAAACAAATAGAAGAGGCATGACTGTGCTCCGTTCTGTTGTTAAACACTTAGGAAGCGGTTAAAGCACTAAAGAAAAGGACAGAAACACTCAACTACGTACATCTCCTGTTTCTCCCTACATTTCTTTCGTATTCTATCGCTTCCTTTGTGCTTTAAAACTGAACAGAGCACAGTGGAGGCTTCTCTTTTTGTTGATTAAATCTTTGTTCCGGCACACCTGACATATAAACAGACTTGCTTTCTCACTTTCAAATTTAGAGCATTTCTCATTCCTTCAAATGTTTTTTTCTTCTTTTTAGTGTTAAAAATATGGGAAAAGCTCCAAAAAGAAAGCTTTTGACAACTGGTTTCATGTTTCGTGACGTTTCAGGACTCCTTCTTTATTGACTGTTTAATCATTTTCAAATAACAGTCTTCACTATTGCTTGCCAAATGAATGGGAAAACACCAAACTCAGAAGTTATTTAATTAGTCTCAGTATTTTCTCTCCTGGGTTTTATTTCAAAAACTTAGACGCCCTTTATTGATATACTATTGACTACTTACCGTGTTTAAGGAGACAAAAGAACTCCTGTAGGGTTAGGTAGGCCCGTGAGCGGTCCTTTAGAAAACAAAAATTGCCTGAACTAACTCAGCTTACAGTGACTCATTTGAAAATAATTAAATAATTAACCAGATGTAGAAGGGAAGAAAAGAACACCAGATTTGCGGAATTTGAATAAAGACCTTCTAAAGAAAAACAAAACAAAAGAACAGAAAAAATAGTAAAGTCGTTGAGGCAAAGTTACAATGAATTTAAACAAAACATTTTTTTATTGTTACAAAAACAGTTTTAGTAGCAGGAATTTTAGGTCAGTATTCCACGTAAGTCCACGCGATTCCAATAGAAGGATTGCAAGAATCTCATCCAGTTATTTCTTTTTCTAGAGACGCTTATGTTTTACATAGAGAAAAACCCAATCCATAACATTTCCTAGTAAGGCCCAAGGCGAGTTCAAATGTCTCGCGGTATTTGTACTGCACAGGACCGCTTAGACAGATTTTCTCACATCGCGCTAGCGACGAACTGGATTGTAAAGAAAATTGAGGAGGATATGGAAACTTTGCGAATCGAGTTAGCACAAAAGAACATGCAGATTCAGTCATTACAGAGTGACTTGTACAAACTGAAGGAAAAATACGACAATGAGACGAAGTCACTGAGGAGTGAGGTGGAACGGGGAAGGGAAAAAGTTGGATCTCTGAAAGTGGAGATAAGGAGGTTGAAGGAACCTGAGACAGATGACACTGTTAGTATAATGAGATAAGCTCTTATTACATTATAACTTAGACACGAGCTTTCCAAGGTACTCTTGTTTTGGTCGCCATATTGATAAGTAAAAAAGTAGGAATTATGTTTGAAACTCAAGTTGCCAATTTCAGGGTTTGTCACCAAGTTGGTGGCTAAATATAATTTTACTCGCATAGCAATTAAGGCGTGTAGCAAAGTAAGACCACCTCGAATCTTTACTTCGCCCAGCGATCGTGACATCTCTATTCATTACTAGTAGCAGTTTACATCTATTTCTTTTATGTTGTTGATGATTCTCGATTTTAGAGGCCAACCTGTCGCGTCTAACGAGAAGGAGAACGGTGAAATTGGGGTTGTCTCTAATGTAGCTATACTCGAAACCGAAACGCAAACGTTGAAAGAAAATGTGAAAAAAAAAATTGAAAAGGAGAAATCAACTTTAAGTTTACTCAATAAAGAAGCAGGGTATGTTGTTTGTTTGTAAGTTGGCTTGTTATTTTCTTCTTTGTATGTACGTGCCTGAAATTGGTTGCGTCTTTATTGTTTTGAGGTGAGTCGTTCCAATTTCGAACTTAATCCACGCGGCAAATCAACAGCCTTGAAATCGTCACAGAGATTCTGTCAAGTGCTGATTAGTACGCATGCTTGAAAGTTGAAAAACAGAATAAGAGTTCTGAAAAGTTGTCGCTTTCCCCTTTATTTTCGCTTAAGGAGGAAAATGCCCCAAACAATAGTTTTAAAGACACAAGGATTTTACAATTGTACCCGTCGTCGGAAATATTTTACAATTTTACCGAAGTTTTGGACTGCCCGCCAACACGTTCGATCTCGAACAGAAGCTCCTTTCTCCTAAGAATGGTCTTTTATCGGAAGAAATTGTGTCTGCGGAAAATTTCCAAACATATATGTCTACATGTCGTACGTTGCTATGGTATCCAGAAAGACCAAACTAACATTAAATTACACTTTCCTGCAGCAATAAGGTAGCCCAGCTTTGTTCTGCAAACAACGCGCTTAAAACAGCCAGGAAGAAACTAATGGAAGAAATACAAAAGCTTAAGAAAGTACAGGAGAGTTCCAGAGCTAAGGAAGATTCCGGCAGGCGACTTCCAGGGTAAGGGTGCATGCGTTTCATTTACCCACCGCAT